AAGAGCTTGTGAAACTGCTGATTCTTGGGTCTACTGAGTCAGCAGCTCATTGAGGAGGTGGGGTGCAGGAATGTGTATTTTTAACAGGCACTGAAAAGTGGTTCTGACTGCAGGTAAACTGAAGCTGGGAAAGCATGGCTGTTTAAAGTAGCTGCCACCAAAGGTCGATTCAGCTAATTCCTCCCTTAAAGGACTAATGATTCTCCTGTGAGCCTCAAAGCCAGGCTGCCAGACAGGGTTTCCTGGAGGTGGCACACAGAATAAGAAAGCCTCAGAAGTGGCCCCAACACTTCATGCAGGTCAGAGGTGCGGAGTATGTGTCAGTAATGCTGTTTGAATGAAGGGCCCAGTGACTTGGAGAGATGGGAAGGGAAGTTGGGGTGAACTGTTAATTACTAGTTTGTGCCACTAGAATGCAAATTCCAGAAAAGGAGGTGCCTTGTTCTTAATTATTCCTAGGGCCCAATACATACTGACATGTTGAATGAATTAATGACACCACCTACTTTTCTATCTCCCTTGGGTGAAAGAGAAGGTCTGAAAGCATATTGAGGTGGACCTACACTGTCTGAAGGAATTCCCTGTTTCTCCAAATAATGATTCCAACTGATTCCCATAAAATCAGTGTTATATGATTAAAAACCAAATTCAGATTAGGACATTAAGGTATTTTTGATACCCAGTGATACGGCAAACACATCATTTGAGCATATTAAAGTGACTCATGCCATTTCTATTGCAGTGAGAAATGATGGGGTAATAATTTATTTCCCTTTCTTCCCTTTAAACTCTAGGGCCTGAACAGCAGGGATGTTAGGAAAATCCATTGAATAACAAAACATAAATTCCCATTAAAATAAAGAAGTAGAAAATTTAACTGAGAATGGAAAGCCATTTTACACCTGCCAGATGGGCAGAAATAAAAAGTCTGAGAATAGTAAGTGTTGACAAGGATGTGGCATGATTAAAAACTCTACTAGTAAACAGCTAGTGGTTCAGCCACTTTGGAAAGACTGGACACCCTCAAGCAAAGGTACAAATGTGCCTCTGTGCTTTATAATTCAGCAATTCCACTTCTAGGGAGTTACTCAATTCTTGCCCATGTACAATAAGAGACATATATAAGAATGTTCATGGCAGTATTGTTTTATATGGCAAAAACCTGAAACAAACAATCCAAAATAGTAAAATGAACTGATAAATGATTAGAAAGAGATGAGTATTATTTTCATTTGTAATCTGATTTACTGTATTGTAAATGTATATAGTTTTTAAAATGTGCATAATGGTAGAAGAATAAATAAACCATTAAGCAGATACAATGGCAAATGATACAGCCATGAAAATGAATATAATTATGCATCAACATAGGTGAAATTCAATGATGTAATACTTATTAGAAAAACCAGGTTGCAGAAGAATGTATACATTATGATTCACCTTATTTAAAGGTGAATAACCTTTAAATGTGTAAAGGTATAAAATTTGGGCAAAACTTTATGATTTAAAATCTTTGTGGATATTTTTCATGGAATTCCTGCCCTCATTTTATTGCACTTAAGAATTTCTCATTCTTTCCTCAAGATAAAACTTAAGTCATTATCTCTATTATGCCTTCCCAATGACTCCAGGTAAAGTAATTGCTCCTCCCTTTCCTGACAGCTGTCCTTGCACATACACTATCAAAGCACTTGTCACACCATGCTACAAATATTGGTAATAGCCAAGCCAGTTGTGTGATGGTAAATTGTTACTAACTGGCTCTCCAGTGGAAAAAAAAAGTATAGATACATTATCTATCTATCTATCTATCTATCTATCTATCTATCTATCTATCTATCTATCATCTGTCTATCTGCATTTAAGTTTATCACAAATTTTATTGATATAAAGGATGTATAGCACATAATTTATTCATAATTATAAAATGTACAATCTCCTTATGTAAATCTTATGTAACCAAATTGAGTCTATTGGAGTGTTTTCATTAATTTCTTGCAAAATCTTGAATTCATAGCCAGTCTTACATTAATAAAGAAGACAAAGTAAAATAGTAAAGATGTATCAGACCTTCTTTGTTTGTCAATGACTTTGCTGAAATGAGTAATAGCTTTTGAGCATGGGGAGATTATTTCCTCTTTTTTCTGTGTTGATTACAGTATAGTAGCTACAGATACGACACACTGAATTTGTATCAACATTATTAACATTTTCTCCATCACATAAGTCTGACAGTCAACAAAACAATAAATCAAGCACTAATTTGTACATTTGCCAGTTTCCATGGTGTAAATTCTTCTACCATGGAAAATTCAGGGTTTTAACATGACATCATTGAGGAGCTGGAGAGATGCACAGTAGCATAGCATTATATAATATTTGTACCATATAGATACAGTATACATAAATAACCACAAGAGTATAGTAAAATGTAATAAATAGTAAAATATTAAAATTAAATGATAAGTAATTAGGAATGATGAGCATTACTTTTGTTTGTAATACAGTTTACTTAATTGTAAGTTTATGTATTTTTTAAATAATGGCAGTGTTTAACAACCAGCTTTTAAAATCCCTGAATGTATAATGACCAGCATTTGTACAGAATCTGTCTGAGTCAGCTGTAGCACAGGTCACTGCATGTCTCTCAACTGAAATGTAGCATCTGTGGGGTAGGAACATGCCTTAGTAGTCTTGTGTCCCAGTAATTATCCTAGTCTATGGAACATAAGAAGCATTTGATGAAACTTGGTTGAATGAATGAATGAATCCATACATTGCACAGCTTTGGCTAAAGTTCTGGGAGTTTAAGTGGCTTGGTTCGGGTCACACGGCACTAAGATTTCTCAGTCTCCTTTAAAGTAGTGGTGTCTCCCAGGTCCACGAACCATCCTCTTAGGCTCACACCCAGAGAATAGTACAGGGTACACCTGGTTTATGTGGCAGGGAGAAGGGTTTGTAACTGACAGAGGGGAGTAAAGAAAGAGCCCACAGCTCTTTACTTGAAAGAAAAGTTTGCAAGACGTGAATTCAAAGGCAGGCCAGGTGCCAAGTGCCGAAAGATGTGTGTGTGAGAGGCGGAGGTGAACAGTGGGAGTGGGGAGACATCTGGATTTCCTCATGTGGCTTCGAAATATATCACAGGAGTTGTCCCTGTCCCCACCCCCACCCACCCCTACTGATTTACCTTCCTCGTGATCAAATTGCATTTTTGGCCTTAGGGAATATTAAAACAGGTTTGTTCATGGACAGGACACCGCAGCAGGAACAGATGGCTTTTTTCCTAGAAGAAAGCAATCTGAAATTAAATGCTATGTTTTGGGCAGTTTGTCTATTTTAAGAGTCAGACTCAGGAACAAAATGAACACTGAACACATCCTTGGTTCTTGCAAGGCACCCCAAACAGAAGCCAGCCTACACGACTCCTTCCTGAGTCCCCACTGCTGCCTGAGTAAAATCTCACTGCAATTGACTACTGCCAACTGTACCAACCACCTAACATGTTCTTGGCCCTTGTGTCCTCTGAGAGCACAGGCTCTTTCTCTCCTCAGAGGCTTTGACGGTGCTGTCCCTGCTGTCTGAACGGTCTTCTCGCTCCTTAGAAGATGGCTCACTCTCATTCTTCAGGTCTCCGCTCAGGTGTCACCAACCCAGAGAAGTCCTCCCTCACCTTTCTAAGTGTCCCCTGCATTTATTTTGCCTACCACCCTATTTATTTCCTTTGTCACACTTACACCAATCTTTAATTATTTTGTTATTTATTTGTTTATTGCTGGCTCTTCCATTAATGTTCATTCCTCCTGGTTAAGGACCTTGTCTGCCTTGAACACTACTGTGCACTTACCCTTCAGCAGATATTTGTAGCATGAATCAATGAAAGTGTAAAAGAGGATCCCTCAAGACAGGGCTTCTCAAACTTCAGTATGTAAGGGGATCAGCTGGAAAGCTTTTTAATACAAAATTGCTTGAACTTCACTCCCAGAATTCCTGGTTCTGGATGTCTGGGAAGGGGCACGTCTATCAGGTTCCCAAATGCTGCTCATGCTCCTGGTTCAGGGATCATAGTTTGAGAGACACTGCAAGGGATCAAACCCCATCTGTACCTTATTAAAGTACATCTGCTGGCCAGTCACAGGGAGGACCCTGGGAGGACAGACCTGATTGAGGGAGAAAAGTCCAGACGAGTTGACCTCAAAGGTATTGTGGAAAAGGTTAAGGGGCTCCAGGACCCTGGTCAGGCTCCTTTTTACTCAGAGGGGCTTCTGAGATAAAAGGCCGCTTCTCCACTGAGGAAGCCATGGTGGATGAATAGATCTTTCTTTCCTTGGCTGCCAGAATAAGCAGACTTAAGTAATGGTTCACAGGCCCGCAAACTGAACATGCATCATATTCTTGACTTGCAGTGGTGCCTCGTGTTCTAAATCAATTCTGGCTTCAACAATCCCCAAAGATCTAAGCAGAGGTTAAAGAGGGGGGTAAAAGAGAAATTCTTATCTTCCTCCAAAGGCAGCTTTTCCCAAAGTATGTTCTGAAGAATATTAGTTACATAAGTCATGCCAGGACAAAAAAAAGTGTCATAGTCAAATGAGATGAGAGGATGCTGGCAGCCAGAACCCCTGCCTGGGGACTCCCAGTGCACATCTGACAAGTCAAGAGATGGGCTTAAGATGGTTAAGGACCAAAAGCATTTTTGCTTATTCTGTAGCCCGTATTTAGAGAAGCACTGCCTTTGGATACTTTCTCTCTTCAAAGGGAGGAATTTTGTTTTGTTCGGAATGGAAACTGCACATGAGCACGCAAGAACAATCTGGTGCACACACAGAGAGACACACACGCCTCCCCCAGCTCCGTTCCCCAGGTGGGCGGGAGAGGAAGTGTCCTGAGTGACGTTCCAGTTCTCTTCCCTTCCAGATGTGAAGCTGCCCTGGGCTGTGACAGGAGCTGCTGCCTGGGTGGGGCATGGGGGCTGCTCTTTAATGGGGCAGCTGGGTGGGTGCAGGAGGAGGAGGAAGCCTGGGGGTAGGTGATAGGCAGCCAGGAAAACGCTGGCCTGGGGAACACCAAGTGGAATTTTCCTCTGGAAACCCTATTGAAGTAAGTGGATTTGAGTGTTGCTCCCCTCGTTGCCTGGATCCCACGGCTAAATGATTTTGTCTTCATTTTCCAGTAATGATTAACATTGCTGCGGTCACTGCTGTTTGGGGACTGTGTGTCTAACTGTGGTGGTAACAAGGAGGAAGCCCCTCCTCATTCCCCTCTGCAAAATCTGCTTTCTGCTCTGACTGTCGGTAGGAAGAGGAGGGACACTTGGAAGGAGTCTTCTGCCTTTCCTTCAAATACTGCTCAGTGTCTCAGCATATTCATTTAACAGAACACTCATTACGGGCTAATGGGCAATGTGTTCATTAGTCATTCTAGTGAAATTTTAGAGATGGTGTGTTTAGATTAGGAAGCAAAGGCTGGGAGGCTCAAATCCTTCAGGAGCAGAGGCAGGGGAGGATGTGATGTCTTGTCTCCTAACTCATTGGAAACCTCTGATACCACCAGGCGGGTTGTCTGGGACCCATATTTTACTTTGCATAAACAAGTTGCATCTGATGATCAAGTGAGGATGGCGTCATGAGCCTGGAATGCCACTTCTACGGCTCCTGCATTGCAGGGGAGCCGCTCTATCCATCCCCAGCCACCAACCAGCTCTAAAAAGCATGACGTTTTTTGAGTTTGTATTCTTTTTTTTGTTTTAAAAGATTTTATCTCTCCTCTCTTCCTCCCTCTTTTCTTTCCTTTCTTCCTCCCTTCCTTTCTTTCAATGAAAAAGGAAAAAAATAACAAAATATTACTCATTTGAGAGAGGTAAAATAGAAGGCACCAGAATCTGCATCTGGGAGTGGGGAGAGGGCTTCCTTCCCCAGAACACGGTGCAGGCCGAGAAAGGCCAAAATGAGGAGGGGCCTCAGGGACTGTCCCGACCCACCTTCTTAAAGCAGTTGGCCGCCCAAGGGTTAGGCACTTGTAACACTGTCTTTTTCTACAGCTTTAGCCTGGAAGTGGGGACGGTATTTGTTATGTAATTTCATGAGTTTCAGAGCTCTCTCTGAATCATGGCATGACAGGACACTTTTTGCAGCTTTTGACCTGGAGCATGCTCTGGATCTCACAGGACTTGGCCAGCTGTGTCATATTCTTGGGCTGACTAGGTTGGGTTTAAATAGAAATGAGACCACCGGCCTGCAAAGAAAGGCCGCTTATCCTGCAACTAAAGATATTGGAAACACTTGATGCTTTTCTGAGCATTCAATCAGAATTAGTTTGCCAAAATTGGAATGTCTGTGGCTTCTGTCATTGAGGAAGGAGAAAACTGAGCAAAGTCTGGCATATCCCAGGCTCAGGGGGACCCACTATGACTCTGACATCATCTGAAGCCTCTGTGTAACCCCATCTCTCATAAGATCTTGGCTAAGTTTAAAATTTGGGCCTCTCAACCATGCAAGGGAAGTTATTTACTACAAAGGATGGCCACTGTGTAATTCAGGGCCTGGAGCTGAAACAAAACCTACCCATCTCACTCCTGTTCATAGTTTCAAGCCATTTGATGTTATGGAGCCACAAATGCACAGCATGGCAGTGTCTGTTCTAGAAACTTAATTCTTTATTTTGCAACAGAGGGCTAGTCTATTTTATGGACTTGATTTATGATTGGCAATATTATCAATGATTTGTTAACCACATTCCTAAAGTTAATATGTAAAGATGGAAACTGTTAATGATACCTGTGACTATGTTAATAAAAATAGTCTTCAATGTCGAGTACAGAGATACAGTGATGGAGCAGACAGGGAGGGGGAGAGCAAGGCCAGGAAAAGGGCCACAGATATACGGTTCTTCAGGTGATCGAGCGTGTGCTGCTGGAGTCTCTAAACCTTGACCAAGTCTTCATTTAATTATGGGTGTTACTTTCTCTGGATCCAGAGTCATAACTTGAACTATGAAGAAGAGTTCGAAAGAATGAGAAAGTGCATTTCCCAGAGCAGGTGTGTGAATATGTGGTTTACCATCTTGGAGTGAATCCCCATGACAGGACTGATGCACAGCCAATAGATAGAGCACAACTTGGCATGTTGTCCCTTAGTTACAGCCACAAAGAAGGGTGGCCATCATGAGCCTAAGGTTGCTAAGCACGTGAAGACTATGGAATGCTAGGGTTGGGAGGACTTTGTAGGTGAGCTAATCCCTGCTCCTGACTTGCAGCTCTCAGGCAATGAGTGGATTGGGTGGCAGGGGCTGGGGAGCTACTGACTCAGATTTTGTCCTAACTGTTCTAGAAATGAGGATAATTCCTGGCCAGCAAGATGCTGTCAATTTATGCTAGTGTTTAGTTAGAACCCTAGCGTATGGCCCAGAGTGATTCAAATTATTGAAAGCACGTAATGTTGTGTCTGGTACCATGCTGTTTGCGATGCATCTTAACCTCATTTAATACTACACCCTAAAGAGATAGGCTCTTCATTTTATAGATCAAGAGACCACCACACAAAAGGGTAAATAACTTACTGCAGACCCAGTTAGAAAGTTGCAGAGCTATAGTTCAGACTTAAGTTTGCCTGATTACACACTTCAAACTCTTAACGGAACCATTCTATTCCCCTTTGGTAAAGAAGTCCTACTAATATGAAATGGTTCTCTTTATATGCCAGCTGACTGGTTTTGATTTATGGGTCGAAAGACATTTCCCTTACAAATAATAAGAGGTTAATTATCAGGGTTGTCACATTTTGCATATAAAAAGAGTACCAAGTATTATTGAATTTCAGATAAAAAACAAATAATTTTCTAGTTAAATAACTTTAGTGTAAGTATGTCCCAGATATTGCATGGAATATATTAAACACTAAAAAACAATTCTTTGTTTATCTGTAATTCAAGTGGAGATTTGTATCTTATCTGACACCCATATTCATAATGAATGAGACTGAGGTGGTGAGTTTAGTGTCTCTGGAGGCCACTTAGTGTTGCCCTGTTGCATGGCTGACCCCTCTCCTGGGAACTTCTTCATGTAAGGCTTCTGTGAATCCTCTCCTAATTCTGTGACTTAGTCCTGCAGTGTCTATGTATATCATAGCCTATCTTCTAATTTATTTATTCAAAAATATTTTTTATTAAATGGTTGACATATACAGAAGATTATATGTAAAGAATTGCAGTTATCAATTGCTGAGTCAAAGGTTATAGGCCTGTTTAACATTGCAGGATAAGTCCACTTGTTTCCAAAATGATGGTGCAGACATTCTTCCGTTGACATACGTAGGCTCCCATTGTGCAATATCCTCACTGCACATGAGATATTATCAGACTTGTAAACTCTTGTCTTTGTAGTGGGTGTGAAGTGCTCTCTCACTGTGATTTCAACTTGCATTTCCCTAATTTCTAATGAGGTTGAGCATCTCTTCATCAATTTATTGTTTCTTTCTTTTTTTTCAAATGTCTTGAATTCCAACTATGTGTTGGGGTCTAAAAGTCCCTTGTTTAAAGGGAGAGACTCAGAGATAGTATCTGAGGGAATGAATCAGCAGAGAAGAGTCCAGATACAGCATACACACTGGCCCTCAGTGAGCAGAATAAGGAGACCTTGCTCATAATGCAGCACTACAGGAGGCCTGGAAACCCCTCTGTTGCTCAGCTACCACTTTGCTCCTCTGCACTGGCAGCCAGCTGTTGTAGAAAGAATTTTCAAGCCAGATAGACCTGGATTTACATTGTGTCTCCTAGCTATGTGACAGCAAGTTGCTTTCTTTCTCTGGGGCTCAGTTTTCTTATCTGTAAAATTGGTGTGGAAAAATGTGCCTTGTAGGATTGCTCTAGGATTAAAAAAGATGACGGATGGAAAGCACTGGCGGGCAGGTGGTCAATCAGTGTTGCTTTCTTCCAGGCTTCTTCATATTAAAGAACGGACTGGAAGAAGAACACCTCAAGGCGACCAATATTTTGTTCCAATGCATTAGAATAAATTGTCAGGAATTTTGTACTTAAGATCTTATTTGTGGCAAATGCAAGGGTGTTTTTTAGAGTCAAAAAAGTGGATGGATTTTAGAGACCATGTAATTGGATGACTCCTTTCTGGGCAACCCTGTGAATAGGTCATGTGAGAGCTGAGTCTGGGCCGTCATCCTGGGACCCCATCAGACGGAGAGTCCACCACCCAGACCCCTGACCTGGAGTCTCACAACCTTACATAGTGCAGAGTTTTCTTGATGTCTTGCTTAGAATCTCTCTTGATTCGACATAAACGGTGTTCTTCTCTTCTCACAGTGAGAGAGCACCTACTCTGAGACAGACATTTAAACTACATAGCAACATCATCTTGCATTAAAGCTCTGCCAGCTGCTTCACGGGTAATGCGACATTGGACCTAGGCCAGACCTGTAAATTTACATGAGAAAAAGAGAAGTCCAGTACATGGTAATTATACTATGGCTAGGCAGGCAGGGGCAAGAGGGGTTTCAGCTCAAGTTTTCTGAGTCATAAATTTAGGATTTTTTCCTGTTCCCTTTCACTGAGGGTCTCCTTTTAGTGGACATGTGTCCGAAGGTGACCTGGACTCCTTCGGGTATCTCCAAGGGCCAAGTTCAGATGTCTTAAATTGGAGTTAGGAGACCCTAGTCCTCTTCAGAATTGCTCCTTTGGACAATGCAATGATGGTAGAGTTTTGGGTTATGTGTGTATGCATAATCCAACTCTCTCTCTCTCAAGGAGTTTCACCCAATTTTTAAAAAGGGATCCGTTACCTAAAAAAAGGCTAAGTTATTTATTCATTGTGCATCCATTTAGCAAATATTTTTGATGTGCTTACCATATGTGATGTATTCTACTAGGCCCAGAGAATGTAACAGAAAGAAGATAGATGTGGTCTCTACCCTCACACCCTACCCTTACATTTTAGTGAGAGAGGCAAATGGTAAATAAGCAAATAACAACATATGCAATACCCCTATATCAGACTGAAAAAAAAAAAAAGAAAACCAAAAAACAGGTTAAGAGCTACTGATCTAACTAAACTTTGCATTTCTTTCTAGACTTTATATTTGATCTTTCCTCTCCTGAGAATGTCAAAGCCCTCTAGAAACACTCAGTTTTAACTTCTCTCCTGTAGTTTGAAGGCATATAGTTATGATTCTAGGTCCTCTGACCCTCATCCACTTGAAAAGGGTTGTTTTGTACATCTAGGCTGATTAGATTAACCCTTCATTCCTCCTTGCTTCCTAGGCAGGCAGCATAATTCCAGGTCTCCAGCAATGAAAGGCAAGTCTGTTTGGCCAGGCTCAGCAGTGTACTTTCCCCCTGCAGAATCTCCCTGCTGATCACAGCTCCTGCTTGTGCAAGACTAAATGATCTGAAAGCCCCAGAAAAACAAGAAAGGCTGGTGAATTTTCAAAATTTGTGGATTCTCATAAATAGGGTATTGTGCAAAATTTTATCTCAGATCAGGTTTTTGTTCATTGCTGAGTGGGTTTTTCATACATGCACAACTATTGTTTAAAAATGCAAGTGATTTACACCCCTGCCCACCCCATTTCCAATCCCTTAACAAACTCAGAGAACAATGTGACATTGTGCAACAAGAATTGTTGCTATTTTTGAACTGATGTTGACCTAAATTCACCTATGGGGTGGGCAGTAGAAAGAAGCAGTGATCTGCTAAAAGTCTTACAACTCCACTGCAAAGCTGAAATTTGAATCTAGGGCTCCTGATTTCTGGGCCTCTGCTCTCCAGGCTCTAGATTATATCCAGTGGCCTTGCTCAGATTACACATGCAATATTATCAGAAGGCCATGGAGTCAGTTGATTAGAATTTTCAGTCCTTACTAACTCTATGGGAAGTATTGTTAGGGGGCAGTTGTTCATTTTCCTTGGTTCTTGTCCCCGCTGCAACCAAGAATTGAAGGGCAGAGACACAGTAGTGAAGCAGAGTAAAAGTTTTATTTAAAGTTACACACTTGAAGAAAGAGAAAGTACAAGTGTCCTCAGAGAGGAGGTGCACCCTGAAAGGCTGAGAAGAAGTTTTATTTGAGGTTATGTATTTAGAGAGAAAGTGCGTGAGTCCTCAGAGAGGAGGCATGCTGAAAGATTGGAGTTACCCCTTTTAAGGATTTTTCAGAATGTGACAAAAGGGCTAGGAAATGTAGACTTGTTAAGTGGTCTCAAGATGTTTATCTTTGATGAGACACATTATGTGTCTTCTCTTCTATTTTTTTTCAGTCTGACAAAGGGGTTATTTCACATGTTATTATTTGCTTATTTACCATTTGCCTCTCTCACTTCTATTCCTCCAGGTAATTCTGCAAAATTAATTTAACACAAGAAATGTACTGATCCGGTTCCTCCCAGTATAGCAGCTTCTCTCTGGGAACCTATCAATCAAGACTGCCTGCCCTGCCCCCAAGCACCGCTGAGTTATTGTCTGTTTGCTAAAGAATATGTTAAGAATCTTACTTCTTAACTTCCTGGGTTTTAAAATGCAATCTTAGCTTTAAGATGGAATCTTTCCTGTTTTTACTATGCTGTTTATATCTGGGCTTGTTTGCTAAATTAATCATAATGCTTGTCTCCTACCCAGGTTGCAAATTATTTGATTAGGGCTGGAGGAGCCACAAACATCATACAGGTTAAGTTAAAGAATAAGCTGGGCCTTTTAGCAGGCTAAAGTAACTCTTACAATGGCATGATCTAATTGACACAAGATGGGCTATGTGCTTGGATACTTTTCTTTATCTGGGGAATATCTGGATATTCCAAGTTACTCCTGGCTTTTGGAGCTTCAACTGATTAACTCGCTAACTCTGTGAGTCTTTTCTGGCTCTCTATTTTTAGCTGGCTAACTCTTTGAGTCCCTTTTAGTGGGCTTTACTGGACTTATTCTCTCTCCACCCTGCTCATATCTATTTTTCTGCCTAACAGTGTCACACCATCCACGGAAAAGCCAGTTCTGATTTAGAGAAAAACAAATTCTCTTAATTAAACATGAGTGTTAACAGTGTCACACCATCCACGGAAAAGCCAGTTCTGATTTAGAGAAAAACAAATTCTCTTAATTAAACATGAGTGCATGGTTATAACAGTTTGAAGTGAAAACATGAACACATGTTAAGGGAAATTAAAAAAAGAAAGATGTCAGGGAAGGTCATGAATATCACTTGAAAGGTGAGTAATGAAAAGTTGATGATGATGTATTATAAGATTACCAGGTCAGTATCTGAAGTTCTGTTGATTGTCCAACGGGGGTATGAATTGGTCTGGACTCAGCTGACACTTTCTCTTTTCTGTTACTTTCTTCCTACCTGCCTCTTCCACTCTATTTCTTCCTCCCATCCATTCATATCTTGGATCTGGTGGGGAGGTAGCATCTTCTTCCTCTGAGATTCCCTTTGGAGATGGGCTTCAGATCATGGTATTCTAGCCTTAATAATGAGTTAGCTTTTGGGGTCTCCTTTAGACAACATTGCCCTCCCCAGTCCCCCAGTGAGGACATGGCGAAGTGTCAGAAGAGGAAATGGGCCGGAATTGGAGAGAAAGCCAGGCTTTCTTCCTAGGGAGCTATTGACTATTCCTGGAGAACCAGGCCCAGGCCCATTGCTAAGAAAGTGTCATGCCACAGACTGAAATACGTTAGACTCTGTGCCCTCCCATCTCAAGTCCATAGAGCGTGGGTCCCTGGGTTGGAGGGTGGGGATAGCTGTCTTGCATTGGGAGAGACTGAAAGTCAAGCTGAAGAGGAGACGTTTCCTTCATAGTTAATGTGACTCAGACAAATCCAGGATTTAAGCTCAGGCCTATTAGGCCCTAGATCAGTTCCCCTGGGAAATGCCATCTGGTGGGAATACTTATTCCTAGGCAGCCAAATGCTATTAATTCTGTTTTCATGTAATTATTGTGTAGCAAGCTGCCTGTTACCCTTGGCCCAGGCAGCAGGGAGAAAGGGTAAGGGTCAGGCATTTGCCATCATCCAATTCACCCTCTTTTTGTATGCTCTACTTGTTACCCCAGCTCTCTGTCATACCTCTCACTCCACTGACCCCACACATGCACACCCAGACCCTCCCTTAGTTTTCAAGCCATGACATGATTTAAATGCTGATGTGAGTCTTCATATACAGTGTAGTCTTTGTATCAAGTGCACTAAGGCTGAATGTTTGCTTAGAGTAAATAAGGAAGTGTTGCTAGGGAATCCATTCCTTAGGACCTTATTTATATCTTAAACTAGACCAGCACCTTTTCTTATTGCAGTTGTTTTCTTAGAGTGGTACACATAGGTTTGCCTTTCTGACTCCTGTATTGTTGGTTGACACCCCTAGAATAAATTTCTATTAGGGATGGAGAAGTGGGGAGGAAGCCATGTGCTAGAAATCCTAGGTCACATTCTTAATCGTTCTCTCCTGCTCACACCTCATAACCAAACTATTAGCAAATCTGTCAGTCCCACCCTTAAAGCTTGTCCTGAAGTCATTCCATCTGTTTGCCTTCACTATCAGCACCCCTGCCTAACCTCTGCCTCTCACCTAATTCAACCAGATCACCTCCTCCAGCTAGTTTAGATGCATGCGCTCTTGCTGATTTGTAATTCGTGCTCCATGCAGAAGACAAGAGAAATCTTTTGCAGTTGCAGATTAGATTACATGACTGCCCTGCTGAATTTATTCACCAACTTCTCATTGTTCCTGGAATTACATCCAGCTCTGTTCCAAGGCCTGCAAGCCCCACCTGCTCTGGTTCCTGCTCAGCTCTTCAAGGAGTCTCACTCCACTTCCTTCCATAGTTACTGGTCTCCAGCCACCTGGAAAACATTCCCAGCCAAGCATTTTGATGGCTAAGGGCCTTTGCTTTCACAGTTCTCTCTGCCTGGAATGCTCTTGCCCTTCTTCACCTGGCTGGCCCATTTTTACTACAGTGAGACACCCCAGATGACTTCCTCAGCTAAAGCACCACTGCTCACCATCCCTACCCCTCAGTTGCCCACTCATCCCCATTATTTCATTTCTGGCATTTTTCACAGTCTAAAATCACCTTTATTAATCTCTTCATTTATTAATTTTCTAACACTTCCACCAGTATGATAGCAAGAGACATTGCTGTCCATATCTGTGCTGTCCAGTATGGTAGCCCCTAGGCCCACATAAGGCTGTTGAGAACTTGAAATGCAGCTAGTCTAAGTTGAGATGTGCTTTACATATAGAACACCCACCAGATTTTGAAGATTTAGTATGAAAATATCATATTGATAAATGAATACTGATTACATGTTGAAATGATAACATTTTAAATACATTAGGCTAAATAAAATATACCATAAAAATTAATGTCACTTTTTTTTTACTTTTTCAATATGTCTACTGGAAATTTTAAGTTATGTGCATGGACTATTACTCAGCCATAAAAAAGGATGGAATCTTGCTATTTGTGACAACATGGATGGACCTAGAAGGTAATATGCTAAGTGAAATAAGTCAGACAGAAAGACAAATGCCATATGATTTTACTTATGCATGAAATCTAAAAAACAAAACAAACAAAGAAAAAGGATATACACTCATAAACACAGCTGGTTACCATACAGAAGGGAGTGGGGGTTTGGTGAAATAGGTGAAGGGGATAAAGAGCTACAAACTTCAATTCATAAAATAAATTAGTCACAGGAGTGGAACTACACAGCATAGGGAATATAACCAATAATATTGTAATATCTTGTTATAGTGACAAAGGGTAACTGCTTTTACTGTGGTATTTATCAACATATATAATGTCAAATCACTATGTTGTACATCTGAAACTGATATAATTTTGTATATCAACTCTATTCTAATAAAAATATTAAAAATTAAAAAAAATTACATACATGGCTCACATATTTCTATTGGCCAGGACTAATCTCTCTCCTCAATGTACATTAAATATTTGTTTACTGAATGGATGTTTATTTGCTTCCAATTTTCCCTTTGAAATTTGCCAAAGGTAAGTGGCTGCTAGGATTGTCAATTGTTCTTCGTTTCCTTGTTCCAATGTTTCAAACTAGGAGGAAGACAAAACAAAACCCAATAGAATGACAACATCAACAGAAGAAATCCTCTGAGCCATCTAGCCCCTAGCAGCAAGCCAAGAAAAAGCAAACCAGGATTAAGAAGTGAGTGGATAATCTGGGATGGCAGAAGAATGAAATAAACAGTTTCTGCAGCCAGAGATCTTCCCTTAGGCTAGAAGGTGACACAAGCAATTTTCTCTGAACCATCTCCACTTAAGCAATAAATCAAGTAAACAAGGCAGAAAGTGGCTGGAACCTGGTCTCACTCCGTTCACCCTGTATCATGTTTGTCTAGGGGCTGGTGTGGGAAGCCTCCTCTCTCAACAGCCCACCTGAAAAACATCCTTGTGCTAGTAGGGCAGGAGGAGTTGCAGAATTTGAAGAGTAAAAGTGGGGTGGGGGGAGGGAAATAACTGTGAGGATTTGAAAAGCTCTCATGATTTTTTCCCTAGCTCTTCTTTAAGGGTTTCTGGAGACAGAAGGGGATTAAACTGCAAGTTAGGGACGAGTAAAAACTCTAGCTGACTCACTAGCTGGGTTTATCTGATTAATCCTGGGAAGCCTGGGTCTCAATTCAACCCAACCAAATTTACTATAGTTTGGAGAATTAAAAGTGGTTTGAAGCCAGAGGCTCTGTCCCCATTCCTGGAATAGGGGAGTGGGTGGGAAGGGAGAAGATAAGAAGGGCTATGAGCTGCCTTGTTCTGGAAATGTAAAAGCTAAAAGAGCACCCGGGCCAGGTGGGGTTTGTCCAAGACTGTGCTCCCTTTACAGATCTGAGTCTTCCATTCTAGCCTTAATTTCTTTCAGCTCCATTCATTTATTCATTCACAAATAGTGAGTGCTAGCTATGCGTCAGCCATTGCTAGCACTGTATTCAGTACAACATTGAACAGGATACGTAAGATCTCCAACTTCTTATATTATAGTAGAAACTTACATTATAACATAAAAGCAAACAAGTAAAAAATAAATGAGCAAATGTAAAAATTGAAAAGTTCTGTGAAGTTATTAAAAAGAGTACCCACTGATCAAGGAAGTCCTCTCTGAGGAAGTGACGTTTGATCCAGGATCTGGAGGAGAGGGATTGCTCATTGCCTCTTCTATTGGCCAGGACTAATCTCTCTCCTCAATGTACATTAAATATTTGTTTACTGAATGGATGTTTATTTGCTTCCAATTTTCCCTTTGAAATTTGCCAAAGGTAAGTGGCTGCTAGGATTGTCAATTGTTCTTCGTTTCCTTGTTCCAATGTTTCAAATTAGGAGGAAGACAAAACAAAACCCAATAGAATGACAACATCAACAGAAGAAATCCTCTGAGCCATCTAGCCCCTAGCAGCAAGCCAAGAAAAAGCAAACCAGGATTAAGAAGTGAGTGGATAATCTGGGATGGCAGAAGAATGAAATAAACAGTTTCTGCAGCCAGAGATCTTCCCTTAGGCTAGAAGGTGACACAAGCAATTTTCTCTGAACCATCTCCACTTAAGCAATAAATCAAGTAAACAAGGCAGAAAGTGGCTGGAACCTGGTCTCACTCCGTTCACCCTGTATCATGTTTGTCTAGGGGCTGGTGTGGGAAGCCTCCTCTCTCAACAGCCCACCTGAAAAACATCCTTGTGCTAGTAGGGCAGGAGGAGTTGCAGAATTTGAAGAGTAAAAGTGGGGTGGGGGGAGGGAAATAACTGTGAGGATTTGAAAAGCTCTCATGATTTTTTCCCTAGCTCTTCTTTAAGGGTTTCTGGAGACAGAAGGGGATTAAACTGCAAGTTAGGGACGAGTAAAAACTCTAGCTGACTCACTAGCTGGGTTTATCTGATTAATCCTGGGAAGCCTGGGTCTCAATTCAACCCAACCAAATTTACTATAGTTTGGAGAATTAAAAGTGGTTTGAAGCCAGAGGCTCTGTCCCCATTCCTGGAATAGGGGAGTGGGTGGGAAGGGAGAAGATAAGAAGGGCTATGAGCTGCCTTGTTCTGGAAATGTAAAAGCTAAAAGAGCACCCGGGCCAGGTGGGGTTTGTCCAAGACTGTGCTCCCTTTACAGATCTGAGTCTTCCATTCTAGCCTTAATTTCTTTCAGCTCCATTCATTTATTCATTCACAAATAGTGAGTGCTAGCTATGCGTCAGCCATTGCTAGCACTGTATTCAGTACAACATTGAACAGGATACGTAAGATCTCCAACTTCTTATATTATAGTAGAAACTTACATTATAACATAAAAGCAAACAAGTAAAAAATAAATGAGCAAATGTAAAAATTGAAAAGTTCTGTGAAGTTATTAAAAAGAGTACCCACTGAACAAGGAAGTCCTCTCTGAGGAAGTGACGTTTGATCCAGGATCTGGAGGAGAGGGATTGCTCATTGCCTCTTTCACATCTAGGGGATTTTATGTGTGCATTTATTCATCAAATATTTATTGAGTGTTTTTTGTGGCCAGGTTGTCTGCTGGACACTGCCAAAAAAGATGAATAAGGCAGATACTCTGTCCCAAAGTAATATATAATCAAGCGGACACTGACAAGTCAACAAGGAAGCTATTATGGGTAATTTGATACACCCGAGCTTGACTATCTCTAAGGGGCATTCCTGTGTCTAAGTATTCTATTGTATAATAAATTCTTACTGTATGTCTAGGACTTTGGGGCTGCCCATTCTCTCCAAGGATCTTATAATTCAACTCTAAATAGAAGACATGCATATATGAAATATGATGATCCCAGAAGCCAGTTCGTAGCAAATTATTCCTATGTTTGCAGCTCAGCCCCTACCTACCCAGAGACCCTTAAAGCTTTTTAAATCAGTTGGGCTCTAGCACCTCTCTCTTAACCAGTTTTGGATCCCATCAGTTTATGGCAAGGTATATGCATATTGTCTCCCCCTCCCCCCACCACTATAAAAATAATGGCTCCCTACAGCCCCTTGGGGGCTGGACGATAGCCCAGGGCTGAGAAATCTCGACAAGTAAATGCAAATCTCTAACCCATCCACCCCATCTTCTCATCTTTCTCATTGTTTGAAAAGAAAAAATAGTTGAATTGAGAACCTGAAATGGCAAAGCCAACATTGAAAAAATAGGGTCCTGTGAGAGGGTCTGAAATTCGGATTTAAGTGTTGTTCTTTACAAGGCATGAGCAAGGCATATTCCTGAGTCTCAGCCATTCCATCTTTAATATTCAGCCTCCGTAAGCTGAGCACTATTCTGAATTACAGGGAAAAGGAGAGAGATCACACTGGAAAATCAGTTGATACTTTGGGAGTAAAAGCCTACAGTGAAGTCACTCTTGCCAAGGACTTCTAAAACTGCTGACTGTCCTTCGAGGGACAACAGATACTGCCTTAAGAACTGTAAGCAGGAAGAAAGGGCTTCATTTGGATGGTCAGGTAGGTAGATTCTCCATTTGCTCCTTTCATCCCTTCTCTATAGCAATCTGCAATCCCAACAATTTCATCTCAGATATTTTTTTGTGAATCATTTGCACAAATTTCTCCAGCAGCAATGACTTCTGTCTCCCACCTGTAACTAGGCTTGGTCACCCTGCATGGCGGTCTACTGTCCTACATCTCTGTATCCTCCCAGTCGTGGAAATGCCTTCACCTGCCTTCCTTAACTGTGGGTAAAATTGCAATATTTCTAGAATCTCTCACATGGCCTTAGTGCACCTCCATATCGATAGTTGTTTCCAAGGGGTGGAGAAAAGTAGTCCATCTTCATATTAATAGGTAATTACAAGGGGGAGGAGGGCATATCTGGGCAGGAGAGGCTGGGTGGGGACCGTTTTTGCAGCCAGGTTGAGAGATAGGTGAGCAGAAGTGAACGACTACTTGTAAGCAATAAACAGATTTCTCCCACTTTATTTCTCCATTTGACTGATTTTGGTTTCAAAGGTAATTTGTCCTGGGCTGGGAAAATATTTCCCCCTACAGAGTTTCACTAACATTATACCTACCCTTCAGGATGGTGTACCTCACCTACTCTAGGAGGCCTTACCTGATTTCCCCCAGCTGGGCTGAAGGCCCCTCTTTTGTGCTCCCAGGATACTTTATATACACTTTGCTATCTGTGCACTTGTTATTACTCCCTTCTAATTGTGTTAGGTTCAGCTCCTCACCTGACCTCTTCCTAACTGCTTGACCTGAGGTAAGTTACTTAACCTTTTGATACCTCAATTTACTCATCTAAAAAATGGGGTGAAATAATATCTATCTATAAATAGGCTGTATTAAGATCTACCTACAAGTATCTACCTATAAATGAAGATTAAAGATTAAATTTTAAAACTTAAATTAGGTTTTAAAAATATCAAAAAAATATTACAATGTATACTCAATATATGTCAGAATATATTGTTTCCTATTATATATCAAAACATATATTAAAATATATGTTAGAATGCTTTGGACAATGACAGTATAAGTACTGAATAAATGTCATTGTTATTCTGGTAATTATTGCTCATCCATACTAGAGTCTAAATGCCTTGAAGTCAATGACTTGGTCAATATCTAGTATACTTCCTAACTTCTGGTAGGCATTCAGTAGATATTTGGGTATTTTTTCAATGTTGGCTTTGCCATTTCAGGTTCTCAATTCAACTATTTTTTCTTTTCAAACAATGAGAAAGATGAGAAGATGGGGTGGATGGGTTAGATATTTGCATTTACTTGTTGAGATTTCTCAGCCCTGGGCTATGGTCCAGCCCCCAAGGGGCTGTAGGGAGCCATTATTTTTGTAGATAAGAGATCTTTGGTGCCTACCCTAGCCTTTCCCACTGGTCCACCTCCCTTGCCCCATGCAGAGATCCCTTCCTGCTATTATTGCCTCCTCTGTCCACTCCTGGGCTCTTTGAAGACTTTCAAAAAAAATGTGGTGATAGTTGTGGTGACAAGGGGAAGAGTTTGAATGCAGCCTGGAGAAATTATCCAACTTTCTGAGACAGTCCAGGAGCAATAAAGGAAGATGAAGTTGTATACATTCCCTAAGGGCTTGGAGCCTTGAAGAACTTATCTGAACAGACCTATCCACCTGCTACTACTGTAAGGCAGATGGAGCAACCATTCTTTTCCATGTTTTTGTTGAGCATTTGAACTCCTGAGAATAGGGAGTTCATTCATCAGATAAGGGCTCAGGGTGGCTGGGAGCTGGACTAGATGAAGTCATCACTATGACATGTTTTCCAAATCAAGGTAGGACAAGTTATGGCAGAAAAGAATTGTTTTGATCTTGATTT